GACCCGACGGATGGCCTAGGAGCTTGAGGTCTTTCATGTGTCTCCCCCCGTTCCTGGGATCTGCTACTGCTCCCATTTTCTTTCCAATTTTCTCCCCATTCTCAGGTCTGGTTCCTGTATCTTTGCATCCATTTGCTCCCTGGCTCCTGATGATAACTCTGCAGGCAGGTGTTGCTTCTAAGGTGCTCATGCTAAAAGAGCTCCCAGCTGGGAGGGAGGTCTCCTGCCCCTGGCACCATGCCACAGCCCAGCTTGTTGGCCACAGCTTCTTGCACACAGCTGCCATCTAAGCAGAGGCTACAAGGCTGTTAAGAATCAATATTTAAACACTAAATGCATTCTTCACTCACTTCATGTTGAAGTTTTCAGAGGAGCTATATTATGTTGACAGTGTGGCAGAGGGAAACCGGGGAGGGGGCTGAGGTGGAGGGCCCCAAAGCCTAGACCTGGCTCTGCCTCTGACTCGAGGTATGACTATGGGCAAGGCTTTTCCTTGTTTTAATCTCAGTTTCCCCATCTGTGAAAGGGGTGAAACGGGGTGAGCCAGAGTGGACTAGACAATCTTTTAGGCCTTTGCAGTTCTGATATCCACCAGAACTTCAAGGATCCTGCCATGGTGGTCTCCCCACCCTTTGCAAGATGGTGCTGTGGGCAGTCTGGCTTGCTGATAGGAAGAGATGGTTCAAGAGAAGACAAGGACCCCTGGAGCAGTCAGGCTTCAGAGGCCAGGTCTGTGGCAGGGTGGCAGGGGAATCCAGTGACCAGGAGGCCAAGGTTAAGTGAGGCAACGAAACCAGAAAACTCCCCTGAGTAGCCAAGTGCAGGAGGGTTGCCATGCAAATCACCAGGAAGAGATGATTAACTGGGTGTAGGCAAAAACAGAAGGGAGGTGGCCGATGACCCATGACCTGTGGATGGTGGATCCCCTGGGCCCCTGGGGCAAGGAGGATGAGGTGGGGCGTGAAAGGAGGCCAAGGCAGAGTAGAGTTGACAAGCTGCCCTCCCAGAAGACTAACCAGGCGAAGCCGGCTGGCCGGGGAGAGGGGGCTGGCGGAGGGTGAGAAAGGCACAGAGTTTCCATTTCAGAGAGGTTCCGTGTTCTGCCCCGGCCTCTGCCGCCTACCCTGGGGGTGTGGGAGGGGGGTGGACAAGAGGAAGCAGGGGCTTTTCTGAGCAACGTTTCTGTATCTAGAGCTATCAGAATTCATGGACCAGTCCCTGGTCCCAGTCTCAGTAGATGCCTGAATCTCTGGTTGCTCACTTTCTGGGACCAGAAGCCCACTGTGCTTCAGGCCTATCCCACTGTTGGAACCTCTAATCAGGGAGGGCTTCTCGGCACCAAGCCAAAGCCTGCCTCCCAGCTGCACTGGCATGTGGTGCAACATACCCCAGAGCTCTTCAGCCTGGTTCTAGTCTGTGGAGGATTCTATATAGGACGCAGGAATAAATAATGTAAAATTATTACCAAGGAACAAAAGTTCATGGCAGGCCTGGTACCTTGTTCTAGGGATTAGGATTTTGTCAAGTTTCTGCCTGTTTCCAGTTTTGAGATAAAGACTACAGTGATGGTTTAATTTTAGGTGTCAACTTAGCTAGACTATGGCACCCAGCTGTTTAGCCAATCACTAGTCTAGATGTTGCTGGAGAGGTATTTGTGGATGTGATTTTATCAGCTGACTTTAAGGAAAGAAGATCACCTTGCACAATGTGGAACTCATCCAATTAGCTGAAGGCCATAAAGGCAAAAACAGGTTTCCTGGAGAAGGAATTCTGCTTCAAAACTGTAAGATAGCCTGGCTGGGCATGGCTCAGCAGTTGAGCTTTGGCCTAGGACCTGAGAGATCTTGGTTTGATTCCTGGTCAGGGCACATGCCCGGCTTGCGGGCTCGATCCCGTTGGGGGTGTGTGGGAGGGAGCTGATCAATGACTCTCTCATCATTGATGTTTCTCTCTCTCTCCTTCTCCCTCTCTCTCTCTGAAATCAATAAAGATATACTGGATTTAAAAAAACAAAACAAAAAAACCCCTATAAGATAAAAACCCTGCCCGAATCCCAGCCTGCTGGCCTGCCCTGAGTATTTTGCTTTGAACTTGCCAGCCCCACAATTGTGTGAGCTTCAATAAATCTTTCTAGAACTGAATGGGGTTCGCATCTGTCTTGCCCATTGGAGAAAATGAAGGCTCCACAAGGGTAGGGTGCCCTCGATGTCAGCACAGGACCAGGACGTGGGGTGGGGTGTGAACCAGGGGTTCTTCACGGGTGGGTTCCCATCTGGCTGTGCCATGGGAACTGTCGGCTTTGCTTTCCTATGTAACTAACCTCTTTTCCTTACTTGTGACTTTGAAGATTGAACTATTAATGGTGTGAAAGCTAAAAAGAGACCTGTGTCCCTGAAGCTGCTATGGAAGAGCCAGTTCTAAGCACCTAAGGTGAGCTGTGTGCTCAAAAAGGTGTTGCGGCCCGGCCGGGCGTGGCTCAGAGGTTGAGCATCGATCTAGGATCCAGATCGTGGTTCGATTCCCAGTCAGGGCACATGCCCGGGTTGTGGGCTCGGTCCCCAGTTGGTGCGCAGGAGGCAGCCGATCAGTGTCGTCTCTGTCATCATTGATGTTTTAACTCTCTCTTCTTCTCCTTTCCTCTCTCTGAAATTAATAAAGATATATTAAAAAAAAAAAAAAAAAAGGGCACTGCCAAGGAACCTGACCCATGCTGAAACAGGGTTTCCCATTGAGATAGTATCAAAAGAAGGGATTACGTTCATTTTCTAGGGATTGATACGGAACAGTTCCTAAAAATGGCCACAAGTATGACAACATACAACTGTCACAGCACAAGCATATGAAGCTCTGGGCTATGCACAAGCCACATCTAAGCGATGCTGGTGAGGGATGAGTGAGCGAGTGCTGGTGGGGCCACGAGGAATTATTTGGAAGACTCTCCTGGGAGAGGGGTCGGGCTTGACATGAGCAGCTAGAAAGATGGAAGGAGAAGGGGGGTGCACAGAGCAACTGGGTTCCCAGAGGCTGGGTCATGGGAGCCGCTTACAGTAAGGGCCCGAGTTGCTACCTGGACACGCCCAGGGCCACCAATGGCCCTTAGGCCACAGAACACCAGAGGGAGGACTGAGAACTCATCCAGGATGATCCCACTGCTCCCAACTTCAGAACGAGGAAACCGAAGCCCGGAGAGGCGGCCAGAGGTTATCAGAGCTCAAAATGGCACGTCCTTGTGATGGCATCTGACCAGCCATGAGTTTACACCGGTCTGTTAGGTGCAAGAGGCTGTCACGGTGGGCAGACATACTCAGGAGGACGTGTGGAAATCCGTAAGGACTGTTCGCTAGTGTACGCAGGGCTGGACTCTTTGATATGAACTTAAGCAGGTAACAGTGCTGGGCTAGTTTTTCCACAGGAAATCTTTCCTTTGCATGTGTACCTGTCTCTTCCCCTCACTCAGGCAGCCACAGGGTGTTTCCAGAGAGGACCTTTCCTCATGTGAATACAAGACATGAGACTCCTGGTCTCCAACCTGCCCTGAGCCCCCAGCACCATTCTAGTGACCCCCCGAGACCTCCCTTTCCCCCTTCCCTTGGATGGTCCTTCCGTACCTCCCCAGTCCTCTCACCCCTAACTCCTTATTCTTGGAAAGGCTTGTCCATCAAAAGGGAGGCACTGAGGATACCATTTGCCCACCTTGCTCACCTATCTGCATACCTGTCTTTAACTCCTTTCGTGCATCCCTCTGGATCCATCCATTCCCTCCTCGACTGCCACTGAGTTTTCTTCAGTTCTCCACCATCTTCTCTTTCAGCACCTGTCAACAGCGACCTGACTCCAGCCAGTCCTGTCCTGTCCACCTTTCACAGCCTTTCACAGCCGAGTTTCAAAAGAGACATACATTCCCTCCTCTCCTCGGCCACTCACTCCCTCCTCAGTGCACGGAAGGCTGGCTTCTTGGCCCACCACTGCCCTGGCACTCCCTGGGTAAAGGTCTCCAAGGGGCTGCATGCCCCCAAATCTGACAGATGCTTTCCGTTCATACGTTTACTTGGCCAACACCTATTTCACAATGGAACTGAGGTATAAGGATATACGCAAGATCAGAAATTATGAATAATTACAATAGTCTTAAGCAAAGTAAATCTCTTAAACAAAGAGATTCAAAGAGAAAAATAAGAGAAAATACTGCATCCCCCAGTAAAAGCTCAGGGAATAAGAAAGTGCAACTTGGTAGAAGCAATTCTTACAGCTTCTGGGGTTGTACAGTGTTCCCCCTAAAGTTACATCCAAGCTTTAATCCCTGGTACCCGTGAATGTGGACTTATTTGGAAATAGGGTCTTTGCAGATGTAAATAAGGATCTTGGGATTAGAACACCCTAAAGCCAAGACACAAGGAGAGGAGAAGATGGAGGCAGAGATCGGAGCTACGCTTCTACAAGCCCAAAGGGCCAAGAACTGCCACCAGGCACCAGAGTCTAGGAGAGGCATGCACGAACTCTCCCTCAGAGCATCAGGAGGGAGCCAACCCTGCCGGCATCTTGATTTTGGACTTCTGGCCTCCAGAACTGTATGAACAAATGTCTGTTGTTTTAAGCCACCTAGTTTGTAGTGATTTGTTACCATGGCCTCAGGAAACAAATATGGGGTACATGCGTGCTGTTTCATAGCTCCATGCCCTTACCAGCATGTTCCTTGTCCTTGAAGGGCTGTTCTACTTTTGTTACCCTGGAAAAAAATCTGTTAGAAAGACCCATGGGAAGACCCAGGGGAAGGCAGGAGAGGTCCTGCCTACCCATCAACTCAAATTTAAGAATCCAACATTATAAAACTGTCCTAGTTAACAGATTCTATCTCATTTTATTCTGACACAGAACTAGTGCTTGGGTAACAAGAGCATGTTAACCCGTTATTGGAGATTTTATAACTTTAGTCACTTGTCCTACCCAAGTATGCCCCCTTGTCGCCCAAGCGCTGTCTTTTTACATATCAGACACATTTATTTACTCTATTTCAGACATTTTATTTTTCTAATTCTAACATTAGGGTTTGATAAGTACAAAAGGTTCACAAGTACAAAAATTTCTGTATAGATATATGGTTAAAAAACCCATGAAAACAAAGCAATTTTTTAAAGTTGGGCAATATTTATCTCTACATAGCTCAGTGACGGTCTTAAAGTGTGGCTGTAAAGATGATTTCATTGTGACTACCTCAAAATTTCTGATGACTCTTCTTCATTTGTTTCAGGAAACCTCTTTCATGACGTTTACACTGGACGGACTCCTTGCTTGTATTTCGTAACAGTCCAATTCCCTGCCTCTCCAGGGCTTCAGTGACAGCACCTTCATTTTTCAGCCAGTGATGCTCTGACCAAAGGAAGATACTGACACCAGCTCCAGAAGCAAGAAAAACTTAGATTTATAGCTGTTATCCTTTCCAACATTAAGAAAAGAGTAATGATGAAAAAGATGAATGAATTTTTCATATTAGTATTAATTTCTCTTCCTGCAAGGATTTACATACTTACACTGCAGATGAATTACATTTGATAGTCTTTTATTTTTTCAAAGTATTTTTAAAAATTCTCTTGAAAACATTAATTCTTCCTACCTGTAGGATTCTGAGTAAGAATGACTGGCTGGAACAGGGAAAGTCTGAGCCTATCTTTCTATTTTCTTACCTAATAACCACCTGTTGGACACAGAGGACAGATCTCCAAGATCTTTGTTCTAGGTATGGCTGAGATTAAAAAAAAACACACACCAGAAAAGCTCACTTTAATTAATCTTAGAAAATAAAAAGAGTGCCACAATGCTGTAGGCACAAAGACCAGGCGAACGCTGGAAGCCAAATCAGACGCGGCTCACAGCTTAGACTTCTTTGTCCTCTGCTTAATCAGGAACAAATTGTCACCGTCGTCCTCCGCGTAGCTCGCCTTTTTCCTATGCTTGCCCCGCCTGCCCTCTTTGGGCGGCTTGTCTTCTCTTGGCCTGTGCTGATGTGAGTGGTGTAAGGACTTGTGAGGCTTCTGGGATTTGAAGGTGCCAGGGGAAGAGTGGGCTCGGGGGCCCCTGGGAAAGTCCTCATCCTCGTCGTGACACCTGTCAGCCTTCCTGTGCTTTTCACGCTCCCTGTTGCTCCTGCTCACTGCTTCCTTCTGGGTTTCTTTCTTTTCTTGAGGCCACCTGGTGTTTCTCCTTGAGGACTGGCTCTTCCTCATGTCATGGTGGGACCTCTGATTTGCTGCTTTCATATATGGCCTCTTGAACTGCCTTGGAAAATCCCCACTTTTCTGGAGTTCTGGAAAATATAAAAGTATATTTTGCACTTTCTGCAGCGAGACAGTCCATGCAGAGCTTTCCTAGGTCTGTAAATAACTTAACAGAGAGGGAAGCCAGACATTTAAATGCATTACGATATGACATTCCAAAGGGCCCTTACGAAGGTAAAAATCACTCAGTAAGAATCGTACTGTTGCAGTTCTATATTTCTGATCCCTCCAATGATATTTATTCTGTTCAATACAATCTAACTAGGGTAAACAACGCAGACGAGGGCGAGTGAGAGCAGTAATCATCTTAGCTTCATGAAGAAAAGTCACGTGTGACCAATTCAAGGGACAGTCCTTGATGATAAGGTGAAGCAAGATGCATAAAATGTCCTATTGACAGTTTCATACGACATTTCAATTTCCCTCTGAAGATAAAGTCTGGCTACAGTACTTAGAGGGGGATGCCAAAGAGGACAGATTATTCCTCCAGAGCAGAGATCACTGGCTTGGAGAGTGAGTGTGCACGTGCACGCACGTGTATCTTATAGGTCTTAGCGCAGATCTGATGCTGTTTTTTTAGAACTTGGCTCTTATTACAAGTGTCTGACAGTAGTGATTCTGACAGGGCAGGTGGAGATGAGGCTACAGTGAGGGATGAAGATTCACATGCCAACAGAACCTTCAAAGACTAAAGAAGTGCCCCCCCTCCAATGAAATGAAGTACAAAGCAGGACATTTAGGGCACAGAAAAAAAATAATTTTGGAATATAGAGAAAAATAAGTTATAGACTTATAGACTTTGGCATAAAATATAAATTCCAATGAATTACAGTGAGCCTCAAAGTGGATCCGTGCTGCGGAGCTGTCAATAGAACCAGTTAAAAAGGAAAACAAATGGTTTTTCTCTGATTATAAGGCTTACAAACACTCATTACAGAAAATTTGGGAAATACAGAAAAGTATAAAGAAAATAAAACAGAAGCACCCGAATCCTTTAATCCAGAGATGACATTTTGGTGCATTTCTTTTTAATCTTTAAAATGCGCCTGGAAAAGAAGAACAAAAAAGGCCCAAAGAGTCAACTTTGTATAGGTCAACTTGAAAAACAGAACTGTTTTGTTCCAAAAGCAAGAAAAATAACTTGGTAAACCGTCTTGAAGTACACTGCAAGAAAGAACAGAGGCAGAGAAAATAGGCTTACATTATAAGATAATTTGGTGAGAAAGAACTTTATGTTAGAGCAACAAAAGATAAAGAAGCCACAGAGGGTGGCTTCGGGCTGGAGCTCTGGCTTATCATGGCTGATAAGAAGTGACTTCTCTGGGGAAGCTCCAGGAATTCACCCAGTAGGAAAAGCCTTTCTTTCCATGAAAAATACTAGAGCTATACAAAGGGGGAAAAAGAATCACTAGTCAAATAGAAAAATCTCAAAGGAGCCTTTAAAAACTCTGCATACATATGTGGATAGAAGTATTTTCTAGACATTTTCTAAAGTGATCATTATGTTAGAAAAATGTTTATTGTGAATAGAATACAACACAGGGTTTTAGAAAATTAATCTTACAGAGAGAAGAAGGGAGAGGGGGGGAGAGAGATGTGAGAGAGAAACATGGATCAGTTGCCTCCTGTATGCACCCTGACCAGGGATGGAATCTGCAACCTGGGTATGTGCCCTGACCAGGAACTGAGCCCGGGGCCTTTCGGTGCACGGAGGATGCTCCAACCAGCTGAGCCACACCAGTCAGGGCACAACACAGGATTTTTTTTTTTTTTTTACAACACAGGATTTTAAAGTGGGTGCTTGATTTCTGGAGATCAAGAAAGTTCCAGTTTTCACGGTAATTATTAAAAACATTTTCTGCGTTAACCAATGACCCCCAAAGCCGGTAAAGACAGTGCAAAAACAGAAAATTGGGAACTACTGCAAAGCTGATCTAGCAAGAAGTCTGATAACATACCTTTTACTTTTCGTTTTATTCTGTGTTCTCTCTCCCGAATTTCATATTTGTTATCATAGTAGTAGATGAATGGAGATGTTGGAAAGGTCTGGTTAAACATCCGCCTTTCTGTACATTCCTGCAAATTGTATTTGAAATCAGGACGTCACAAGGGCACACTGGTCAGAAAACCTTTTGCAAGATTATGGATGACTATTAATTAGAGATGAGCCCCACATCACTGATACTCATTCTTGGCTGCAGGCTGTGGTCTTGCTGAGACACTGGGAGGATCACCCAGGCTGACACCCAATCGTGTTTACACAATATTTTATGAGCCTTTCTTACCTTACTTCTTTACCTAGGAAACCCTTACTGTTTTGCAATCTTCCCTGCCGAACCCCTCCCCCAGTCTGAGTTAACAGCAATGGCTGGGGGTGAGTGGGTCCTACTGCACATGTCTCGTACCTATTAGAGGGTTTATTTTATTTGGTCTTATATTGTTCTTAATCTACATTAACAGGGGTGACTAATAAGCAGTATGTGTCCAACTATAATTGTTTTTCTTTAATTGAGCAAACATAAATGCTAAAATTATACCCCTCTGCTTTAAAGAGGTAAGCAAACATAAATTGTACGTCTATGTGATTTGTGTGGCAGTGGACTGCTTATGTGAATAGGTTCCCTAAACAGTGTTGGCAACAACTGAATTTTGGCAACAAGGAGGCATGCACAGAGCAGTAAAAAAATCTAGAGATGATAATTTTGTAGAAAAAAAATCTTTAGGTTTTCAGTGAGCGTTCTATAGAAGTGAAATAAGTACACTGCAAGGTCTCTCCATCTTTACTACCAAACTCTATGTTTGATCACATTGGAAATAGCATCCAAATGTCAGTGATGAGAGGTCCTTCTGTACAAAAATCAGAACCGAGGATCAAAACCTCATCCTAGCTTTCATTTACTGCCCCTGCACTCCGTGGTCTTGCTGCCCCAAGCAGAAGACAAACCTGATCTGTGGATGGACTTCCTGCAGCACTTTTTCTCCTGCTAGCTTTTCTGTCTCTTCCTATAGCATAGAGTTCCAGCCCCAAGGGCTGCACGAGTGAAATGCGACAGTCAATTCAAGACATGACCTGCAATACTATTCCCCCAGCCTACTGCTCAGACCCCAACCCATTTTGAGGACTCTACCCTCCGTCAGCTTTCCACCTCCTGTCCTCAGATCTGACTTGATATTAGTTATTTTGGTTTCCAGGTTGTTGGGAGCCAACCTGGAGACTGGGAATGCAGCTCTCCCCTCGGACTTTCTACTTCTGCTGCCACTGCCTTTCCTCTGCCGCAGGATTCCCAGAATACACGGCGTCCGAGCCTCGTCTTAGTGCAGCCCGTCCCTGGGAGGAGCTGTTGCTGTTTCACACTTGAGGCACCGGCTGGGAGACTCAGTCCCACCTCACAGCAAGAAGTCCCTTCTGTTTTGAGACCTCAGCATCTCGAACACATGGAGTCTAGTCCTCGCAGTCGGGGTTAGGGGATATGCAGGCCGGACAGGGATTCTGGGCATTTGTGGGGTAGGAGGCTAGTCGATGATGCAGCACCTCTGTCTTTCCAACACTGAGTGTCAGCATTCATTTATCAGCGATGACGATTTAACCTAACATGGCGCTAGGGAGAAATGGGGATACTGGAGGACTAGGTAGATATCTAAAATCATGATTTGGCCGTTTCAAAGTAATAGTGATCAAGAACTCAATAGCACAGCTACCATTCTGTTGACTACTATTATTTCTTGGATTGATTTTATGAGCTATATTTGTTTTAGCCGAACCTGTTCACATATATTTGAAACAGTTAGAGGAATGTGCTCTGACAGACCTGTTACTCTGGCAGAAATAGGAGAAGTAAATTACAATGGAACCTCGGTTCTCAAACTTTACTCGTTTCACAAGGCTGTTCAAAAACTGAATCAGCCCCACTGAGTGTGGCTCAGCGGTTGAGCATCAACCTGTGATCTAGGAGATCACAGTTTGATTCCTGGTCAGGGCACAGGCCCAGGCTGCAAGTTCCATCCCCAGTCAGGGGCATGCAGGAGGCAACCGATCAATGATGACTCTCTCGTCATTGATGTTTCTCTCTCTCTCTCCTCCTCTCCCTTCCTTCCTCTGAAGTCAATACAGATATATTAAAAAAAAAAAGAAAAGAAAAACTGAATCATTGTTTCCCATTAGAAATAATATAGTCCTGGCCAGTGTTGCTAAGTGGTTAGAGCACTTGCCCGTGGGTTTGATCCCCGGCCCTGGTCGGGGCATGTGCAGGAAGCAACCAATCAATGTGTCTCTCTCACATCGATGTTTCTCTCCCTCCCTCCCTCCCCCAACTCCCATTCTCTTAAAAAAATCACTGAAAAAAAAAAAGTCCTCATGTGAGTGTTAACCAAAAAGAAAGAAAGAAAGAAAGAATGTCAATTGAATTAATCCATTCCAGACCCCCAAATGATTCCGTTTTAACCTTTCTTATATACAGTACATGTCTAATGTACCGTTTATAAATAAACACTTTAAAAACAAAAAGGAGCCTGGCTGTAGTGGCTCAGTAGTTGAGCATCAACCCATCATCCAGGAGACTGCTGTTTAATTCCTGGTCAGGGCACATGCCTGGGTTTCGGGCTCGATCCCCAGTAGGGGGCATGCAGGAGGCAGCCAATCAATGACTCTCTCATCATTGATGTTTCTATCTCTCTCTCTCCCCCTTCCTCTCTGAAATCAATAAAGATATATTTAAAACAAAAAACAAAACCAAAAAGGACATGAAGTGTAAATAAAAACTTAACAAAAAGAAAATACAATGTACAGTAAAAAATAAAAATTTAACAATAATAAGCAGCAACAAAAGCAAAAAAACATGAAAATATCCACAGCACAATTTCCTGAGATGTTAACAACATGAGGTTTAGCAGTAAACTGACTCATATTCACGCATTCTCTCCTTTCTTGTCGCCTGAGAGACGCATGACAGGTATCAGCATGAAAGGGTTGCCGGGTTGAGAAGTGAACTGTTCGAGATGGGAGATAGTCGAGAACCAAGGTTTGACTGTAGTAGAAACCGTATTAAATCTCACTTCAGGATGTTAGTTTCTAAAAAAGTAAGTGTTCAGAATTACACTCTTTTTGAGTACACCTTTTATCAACAGAATGCTTTATGTACAAATGCCACTCAGACTTACGTGTCCATAATGGCCTTCTTGACCACAGTTGTAGCAGTACACTAAGGCTGATTGTCCAGAAGGGGTCTTCGGCTTTTTGGGTGGTCCAGGTTTAGTCTGCAACATTAATATTTGTAAGAGTTTATTCAATTTTAGAAGAAAATTAAAACCTCATTCTTTCTTAAAAAGTTCTTTTTAGGTAAGAGAGTCCTTAGATATATTGCCTCCTCGAGTTTAGTGTGGAAACCCCATATTCAGATGACTCTGTGTATTAAAGTATATGACATGAAAACAATTCTTTTATTCTTAACGTCAGTGTGTGCTTTCCTCTTCTTCCTCACTCCTCATTCCATTCAGCACTGCACCGAGTACTGTGTCAGGTATTAAGTATCTCAGATAGAAAATAATAATAGGCCAGTAGAAGATGACAAGCACATAAGTAGATAATGACAGGACAATGTAAACGAGTGATAGAAGCATGTCCAGGTATTAATGGAGTGGCAAGGGAGACCCACCATTGGATGGGGTGAGGCACAAGAAGATAGTTTGAAGCTAATGGTAGGTGCTCAATAACTAGCTGGCAGTTGTTAAAACACTACAAGCGATGACAGAAAGAATCCATACTCTCGAATAATAAATGTTCTCTGAAAAATTGATATATATTTATAAATTTTTCTATTTATGCTCATTTGTGTAAATACATAGCAATTTATCTTTGAGGCAAGATTTCTAGATTCATTGTTGAGAAGGAAAATATGCTATGTCTATTCCACTGAATAAGAGATTCCATTGGTTCAAATCCTATGCAAAGGACAAGATGAATCAGGAAGCAGTGACGAAGTGGGCTGGTGAGAACCAAATTAGCAGGGATATCCTGACATGGAATGTGACTTGACTGCTGTGGATACAAGTAGGGACTCCCTCATGGGAGGGGCACCCATACCTCTACAGCAATTCTGGCTTCTCCTCAGGAGTGTAGAACACAGGGACAGTCACATTGTTATACAACTGCCCAGAGGTTCACTTCCATCACCTCCACGGAGAGTAAAGGCCACCTTTTTTAAACACTGCCTCACTGCTCTTGACCTGCATTTCCCTATTTCACCTTCTAGGGTACTAAACTGGTTATTTACTATGCTTATTACCTACATCCCCATTGCTAGAATGTGAGGTGCATGAGGGCAGGGATCTTTGTTTGGTGCACCATGTACCCCTATGACAAGAGTCTATAATAAGTGTTGGCAAACTATGGCCAGCAGGCCAAATCTGGCCCACTGTCTGTTTTTGTATAGCTCACAAGGGAAGAATAGTTTTTACATTTTTAAGTGGTTAAAAAAATATTTTGCAACATGTAAAAATTATATGAAATTCAAACTTTAGTGTCTGTAAATAAAGTTTTATTGGGACACAGCCAGGCATATCTGTTTACGGATTATCTGTGGTTGCTTTTCATGCTACAGGGGCACAGTCATGACAGAGACCATATGGCCTGTCAAGCTAAAATATTTACTATCTGACTCTTTACAGAAAGTCTGATGAGCCCTGACCTAAAACATAGTAAGTGCTCAATAAATAGCTGGTGAATAAGTAGATATTAAAGACTCCAAAGTTCCTCTGACTTTATTTTATTGCCTAAGTCTGAGGAAATTACAAGTAGTCCCAATGCCTTTCACCAGATAAACATGGAGAACTCCTTCATCTCTTGGTTCAAATGTCATCTTCTTTGTAAGGCCTTCATGACCACCCTACTTAAAATATCTAGCTCTCTCCAATTGGTGCTCCCTATCCTGCTTCACTGCCCTTTTTTCTTAAACTCCCTGGCACTTATCGTATCTGATACACTATATATTTTACTTGTTTGCTTGGTCTATACCCCCACTCACAGGGGTTTGTCTGTTTTTAGTTCCCTGCTGTATCCCAGATCCTGGAATAGGGCCAGGCATAGAGTAACACAGTAAATATTAAGAAGTGAATAATGAGGTTCTGCACCTATAAAGCACATGACCTTTAGTGAGCATTCTATACATTTTAAGCACTAAAGGCAACCTATAAAATTATGCTTTTATATACTAAAATGCCCAAATAAATCAACACAACTTCCTAAGTGTCTCCCCTACTTCACATTGGGAGTGTGGCACATACTCTGGCAGAATTAGGAAGGTGTTGCTAATACAGAGACTAGGAATTCAGTCTCACAGTAAGAGGGATAAAGAGATGCTTTTTAATCAAGATTTTGAAAGCATGTCTCATGTTGACACTTATTTTATTTTGAACATAATCTCACTCAAAAAGCCTCAAATTTAGCCCTAGTGTTCATTTATGCCCGTGGATAAAGTGCAGACATTTGGATGTTCATTCATCTGAATAATGTCACTAGTTAAAAACTTCCATTATTACTAATAAAAATAGCAACCGTATTTATATTGTGCTATGAAATTCTAAACTGTTTCACAATAATTAATTAGTAAATGACATGACAAACACTATCTACATACTCTCATTTTAATAAACTACCATGTACTGGGACTTAATAGGAATGAAATCAGCCTAGATCTTACCTAATTAGAGAACATTTCTGTATTAGAATACAGTACTGAAAACTCAATAATGATTTCCAGTGGACAAGTTTTCATACTGTGATCTAACAGAAATCTTAGAGCTATTTAAAGTGTTAGAAATATAAATTTGTGACTCAATACTTCTGCCTGGGAGCATGTCTTTATTTTTAATTAACAGTAAAGGTCCAATTTAAAGCAGAATATGTCAACCGATTAGCTCTAAGTTCAGGGTTCTGTCACACCCGTCTATACTGCCGAAGAAAAGTTAAATGCAGGGAACGGATGTAGTTTTTTAGAACTTTTTTTAAGTTAAAAAATTTATTGAAAGACTCTGACCTAATGGATACCAAATGAACTATATATGAAAGCAGCTCTCTCTCTCTCTCTTTTTTTTGTTTCAGACATTTAAATAATCTATATTTGTAGGGTGATATCTTAGAGATTACTTTACTATCAATATATAGAAGTAATAACCTGGTAGATAGCATTACCTATGAAAGGTCCACCCCATCTGCTATTCTTGCTGAAAGCTTTTCATGCACCAGTAAACTCAGTAAATATCAGAAGATAAAGCATAAGCCTACCACGCCACGGATTTACTCCTAATGTCTCCTCAAAGTGCAGCCTGATGCAACGATTACAAATGATTTTCTTCTAATGTCATTTTACATAACCCTTTTTTCTGCATGAGTAGTTGGTGCGGAATGAATGAATGAATGCCATTAAAACAGTTAATCATTATCTGGGACACTGGCCTCCCTCCCTTCACTACTAGGAATCTCCATGACAAAGGCCAAGGGATCAAAACGCCAGAGCTGCCTCAGTGTCCTATTTCTAACAGTAATTTTTTATGCAAATGAACCTGCTGGGCATCTCCCTCTGTGACCTTGAGCTGCCCTTATCTAAACTGACTTTGATCCAATGAGGACCTGCATCTTGTTGAAGCTCATTACTATACAGGATATGCAATCAATTTCACTAATTAAAGGGAATTTTCTACTCTCGTGACCACAAAATGGACTTATTTTTATAATCATACATATGCTTAAAGACTATATGTCTTTATTTATTAATCCAATGTGTTATATGAACATATATTAAAAAGCAAATATGTCGAGTACTTGATGTAAATGTATTCACAACTGAACATAACATGGAGTAAAGCACTAGCTTAGCTCTAGTCTTTCTGAACAAGTTGAGTTTACACTTACACCTCGTAAATCCATACGCTTTTCATGTTTGAAAACCTTACTCTTTGTAAGTTTTCCCAATCAACTCATTTTTTCAATAAGCTAACAGCACAAGCCTCTCCTCAATATCCATGTATTTAAAAAAAAATCTAACCCAAGTAATCAAATAGAATTTCTCAAGAAAATGTTACTCCAAGTCAAAAGCTTGCCATCACAGTTAAAGTCCATTAGTTGAAGAAGGGACCTAATGATATGAATCTGACATCTGAGCAAACAAAAGTTTGAATTAAAAATACACCTTTTTTCCTGTTTAAACATATTATTTTTTTCTGCCTACTCTAGAGATCAGATATAGTTGTCTAAGTATTTTATTTGTTTCATAAAGAGGAGGCAGGGAAAGAAGAATGGGTGCCCTCTCTTTCCTTTGGTACTGTTTACAATATAAATGCCAACAGAAATGCAACTGGTACGCAATCAAGAAAAATCACACCAGGGGCCTAAAGGAATCAAAGAAAGGAATTTAAAAGTTGGGCAAACAGTTTTGCAGTGAACTGAACCAAAGCTGAGTCTGTGAGAAGGCAAAAATGATGACCCCATGTAACCAAAGATACAAATGATGCCCTGTCTCCCCTTGTCAGAGCTTTTCTGGGGCAGGTCCTCCTCACACCTGGGGATCTGAAATCCAGGTCTTATTCCAACCATGGTTTTGGTCAAAGCCATCCATTTGCACAGCATTCTGGCAAATGTTCACACTATTACTTCCTTTTGAGGAATATTGGGAGGAATTTTCTCTAAGCTAAAGGCGTTGAAATTATTTTAAAACAAAGCTTCCTTTATGAATTTCTTTAGCTTTTATTTTTTTCTCAGTGAAAAAAAAAAATTCAATTGTATTCCAGTGGACACTGCTACTAATTTTCCCTATATCCTAAAAATGCCATTAAAAGCACCATATATAATGATATACCTACACTTTTTGTGTTAAAAAAAACTGATGACATGTACCCAACAGACTTCCACAATCCATCGGGTAATTCCTTAATTAGGCAGATTTTTGAAACATGTATTATGTACACAACAGACCGGAACGTCTCCTTTGGAGCATTTTCTAGTCTATCGGGTGATTACATCATTAAGCCACACATGCTACGTAGAAAAAAATCCTTATGAAAATTCATGAAAAAATGTACAGCACATCATTAGCATGCAAAAGACGTGTATGCTTTTTGCTTTTTCTCTGTAAAAAAAAAAACACTACATGAAGTAATTAGTCCAGGTCATGAAAACACGAGAAAGGTACCAGACTCTGGTGAAAATGAAAATTGCAAAAAATTACATCTCTCACAGTTTTCCTGAGAGTAATTTGCTTTAC